CACGAGCACGATGGCCAAGTCTTCCACGACCGATCGTTGCGAGACGCCAGTCACATGAGAAGGCTAGGTACAGGAGCGGTCAGTGCTGGCGGTAGTCGCGCTGCTCAAAGTACTGTTGATGAACGGACGCAGAGAGCAAGTCGATGCGGTCAGAACGTGTGATGAGTCTGCCAAGTCCGGATCGACAGACTTACCTCGTCAAGAAGGCCGAAGAAAGCATGTTTATCTTCCTGAGAGAACTTGGAGAACTGGATGTACCCTGCTCCGTCACTCGCTGGGAAAGCGTGAGCAGCAGGTGGGTAGGGAGGAGGTGGATGATTCGTGCCGTCTTCATTCTGCATTCGTGGTGGTAGAGCTGGGGCTGGCGCTGCCGTCACTCCACCATGCGACCCGCGCTGGGGCGGAGGAGGTGGTCTGCCCTTGTTCAGGGCCGAAGGTGGTGTGGGCGGCACGCGGCTTCGTTCCGGAACGACGGTGGAGGCATGATCTTCTCCCCCAGCTCTCGCTTCCACATCGCGATTCCATCGCGGATTCTCGCCCTTGAGCATGTTCATGCGGTCCTGCAGTCCCACTTTGCCGCTGGAGGAGCCACCGGCGTTCGCCTCGCGCTGCTGCCGAAACTTGTGCTTTGCATCCTCGCCAAAGTCGTCCAGCTTCTTGTTGAAGTCTTTCCGCCAGTCGTCCCACGGCATCGCTCCCAACTTAATGCCCTGCGCCAGAGACTATCCTGATGATGTTGAGGGCGCTCGTACAAGACCTGAATGGACGCTGGAAGTGCTCGCTTCTCTTCGTCCGCCTTGATGATCGATGATGGGTCGTTCCGGTTGGGCAAGAACGTGGCTGCGATGAGAGCCAACTGCCAAGGAACGGTCAAATTGTGGACTGTGCGGTCCGCACGCGGGGACCGCAGGTGGAGGAACCCAAACGAAATAGTCCTGGTCATGGTAGTGTGGTATTACTTGCAACCTGATTTCCGGCAAACATGAAGCGGGCCAATCGTATAGT